ATATCCATACGTACTACAGTGGAGTTTTCCCCTAGTGATATGAGAAACACTAGTGAAAAACATATTTCACGACTACCACTGCATATCACCGCGAATATCACCGAGATTTACGCCACTTCACGTAAAACGAGTGAAACTCCAGTGATACAAAGACATACTAACACAGCATAAGGAGGCACTTTCCTGAGGACAACCATACTCACCGGAGCTCCATACACTCTTGTAGCGGTTTCTATTTCCTCAATCACCCATGTGAGTTGTTCTTGCCGACGTTGGTCTGCTTTCCGATCTTCACCGGCTTTCAGATGGATAGATGCCACCAGCAGTTTCCAGGGCTCACTAGTACCCTACAGTATAGTGTTGGAGGAATATATATGTTCACGTTCCTCAGCTGAGTTCAGCAGTTTCCCTACTGATTATGCAAGTTACATGCACATTCGAGTTGAGACCCAAAAACCGTCCAAATTTCCCCGAATTCCCCTATTTTCGCCAACACATGTACTTGGTGATGTTCATATTCTGCACACTCCCATCCACGGGATACTTACAGTGGATTCAGACTCGCACTCGAGTAAAACCATTGATAGAGGAACCCGTAGGTTGGTGTCAATCTTGGACAGATCCTTCACAAGACGCCAGTTCTCTCGCTTATAGAACACGCATGTTCCATCGCTGATACAAGTGAGTTCGATAAACATACAGTAAAGTTTCACCCGTCTTACGTGATACTCATATGAAGTGAATTAAAATTACATCGTAGTTATGCGTTTTCACTGCTGATTGCGTTTTACGCGGAGTGAAATGTGGAATATATGTTCTTCACTACTGTTTTTCATATCACCGATGAAACTCCAGTCACTACTGTAATTTGAAGATGCGCTCTAATTGTGTACTTGTATCTTTTTATCCTTAGCTACATAGCGAGTTAAAGGATCGCTTATTGGGCGAGAGTCAAGAATATGTGTTGTTACTTATCCTTACGCCCGCTACCTTGCGTTCACCCAGTAGAACAGAAACCGACCATGACACCAAAACTGACCTAAACCAGCCCAGTTTGAGTCCAGGCGCTCGTATTTTGTATTGGAATGCTCCTTCGTATCCAAATTTGCTCAGAACAGGATAGAACCAATGGATGAAATGATCAACTTCTTGCAGACATATTATTGATGGTGAGTCTCGCAATATAATCTGAGAAATCACGGGCTGAACGGAGCAGTGTGGGGAGAAAATATACGTGTGTTGGTGACAATGTGAAAATTTCCAGGAGATTCCGGAAATTCTCGTGGGTCTCTGCGCACTTACCACAATTTTTACATAAACACTTATGATTATCAAGAAAACTCCTGAGCTCAGCTGAGGGAATCAAACATATATTGCTACTCCAACACTGTGTTCACTCCTGAGCTCAGTAGCTGAGTAAAGCAAACATATATTCCTACTCCAACACCGTGTTCACTCCTGAGCTCAGTAGCTGAGTAAAGCAAACATATATTCCTACTCCAACACCGTGTTCACTCCTGAGCTCAGTAGCTGAGGAAAGCAAACATATATTCCTACTCCAACACCATGTTCACTCCTGAGCTCAGTAGCTGAGGAAAGCAAACATATATTCCTACTCCAACACTGTGTTCACTCCTGAGCTCAGTGGCTAAGGAAAGCAAACATATATTCCTACTCCAACACTGTGTTCACTCCTGAGCTCAGCTGAGACAAGCAAACATATAACTTATTCCTCCCACCCTGGGTGTTAACCTCGTATTATGATTGTGTAAACAGATCATACGAGCCAGAGAGATCTCACTGATATGAGTTGTTCTCTCCGCTTTTCCCAACTCTCAAATGCTGTTGTGAATGAACCGAAGTCGTTGCCCCGCAGGGAACATTTCGAATGTGGAAATAGCGTGTCGATTTCCTCTGAATATTGCGACGTGTGGTATGCTAAGGAAAATCAAATAGAACATAAAACACATATCTTGCACATGCCTGGTCGCGGCCCTGAGGAGAGTCCCCGAGCCAGGGTGTTCCACTGCATGACCTGCGAATATCAAGACTTCATAGAATTTTAGGAAATGCTTACTGTAAACGGACATCCTGATGCAGTATTAGTAACTGATCGAACAGTACAGCTCTACAGCGCTGAGTGGCAATTTGATATGTGTGTTTTCTATTCCGGGATTAATGATAGAGAACAACTTGTCGCTATCATAGTCTCGAAAGGTTACTTTTATCACATCACATGTTCATAGCAATGTTTACATTGTTTATGCGATATAGTTTCAGATCGATTCTTATTAATCTCGGAAAATAACACACATTAGCATCATATCACGCATCGTCAAAGTCAGATCATGCTTAGTTGCTCAACAGTGGTGGGTGTTGGGATGCGAGTTGAACGAGCTCAGTGGAGAGCGTGGTTCATCCCAGATCCAGCACCCACCACAAGATGGAGTGAGCGAACACTATCTTTGCCCTGCCCGGACCACTGTTGAGTTTAATGAAGTTTAATCAATCATGCTTAGTTGCTCAACAGTGGGGGGTTTTGGGATGCGAGTTGGAGTTGGACGAGGAGCTCAGTGGAGAGCGTGGTCCATCCCAGATCCAGCACCCACCACAAGATGGAGTGAGCGAACACTCTTTCTGCCCTGTCGTCAAACTTACTCTCTTTCCATGTCCGTCCGAAATTCTCATCAACGACAACTCGGGGGGAAAATGTGGCGTCCTTCAAGACCGGCAAACGAACTTGACTATGCCAGAAGCAATCCATGTCAACCTCATCATTTCCAATAATCAACCTACAGTAGACCAACACTTGTCGTAAGGATACCTCGAGTCCTCAAGATATGCACCTGGTCAACTACATATGTTGGTGACAATGAGAAAATTATGGGAAAATTTTTGGTGTTTTTTACACTCCTGCCCGAAATTCTATAAAGCTCAGCTGAGGGAAGCGAACATGTATTCCAACACTGTCATAATGAGTTTCAGGATACAAACAAGATTGTTGCATAGGAGTGCACCGATGAAACTCACCGAGTAGTAGCATAGTTCTCCTTGAGATTCGTTTTCGGAGGAAACACCTTGTACCTGTTGAAAATCTAGCCATCACAGAATTTCAATTCCTGCTACAATACGCGCAATCTGAAGAGTCCGTTTTGTGTCACCGGTGTAGTTTTTCACAAGAGCTCTACCGGGGCTGAAATTTCATATACGGGCTCTCCTAAGAGTAGCATTTTTTCAAATATGTCATGAATTCGGAGCGGAAAATGCGCGAATTTTCGCAACGTTGATCAGAACAAGCCGCCAGGGGACACATTTGCTATTTCATCGAAATTTTACCCGTTTTACGTGAAGTGGCTTAATACTTAGTAAAAAACGCGTAGTACTTACTGAAAAACGCGATATTCGCGCTAAGCAGTAGTCGTGAAATCCATTTTTCACTGGAGTTTTCCATATCGCTAGGGTGAAACTCCATTGAAATTTCTGATAATTCATTAAAATCAGTCGGTAAAATGCTAAAAAGCTGGCACTTTTTTTCCCAAAAAATCGGAAAATTATTAGAAATTGGACCACAAAGATATACTATAGAGTGCTTACCTTACTCCACCATCCACGTCCTCACGTTCCCACTGTATGTCAATGTCATCACTCCGAAGCGCCAGCGAGGTCACTTTCACAGTCGGCAGGGAAGACCTAGAAACAGTTCTATCACGAAATCTGAGAAGTCCTACGCAGTGAACAACACTAATACTGGAGTTTCACCCGTGATATGAAAAACACTAGTGAATAACTTTTCCACGACTGCTGCATATCACCACGAATATCGCGTTCTCCACAGACTTTTACGCCACTTCATGTGAAACGGGACTGTTCTTTCCTAGTCTACGAACCTGTCATCATTCGTGACGAGTTTTATATTAATAATGGCGGCCTCGCCCAGCGAGTCAGCACACGGTAGAAAACCATCCTCAACCTGGATTGCGAACCGGGCAGGCAGAATCTGATCTCACGAGAATGTACAACGATCAAGAAATGGAGTTTCACCCGTTTTACGTGGAGTGACGTAAAGCTCGGTGAAAAGCGCGATATTCGCGGTGATATGCAGTAGTCGTGAAATATCTTTTGCCTTGGTGTTTTACATATTACGCGTGAAACACTAACTTGAGAAATGGGGTTTCACCCGTTTTACATGAAGTGGCGTAAAACTCGGTGAAAAACGTGAAATTCGCGATATGCAGTAGTCGTGGAATATATTTTTCATATCACTAGGGTGAAACTTCAATAAATATTATATGTTATTTAGTATAAAAATAATTGACCGATGCGTTTCCCAACAGGAACTTTCGATGCAAGTTTGAGTTCGTATGGCATCAGTCGCCGTGATATTTGCACATGTGTTTTGTCAGACCGATTCATCTTAATAATATATATGAGAAACAGAATCGTGTTATAATCATCGACGATGACCGTTTGAGGTAAGTCGGGAAACTTTTCCGATGATAAACTTATTTGCATTTCACTCCAACTTCGCAGTGTTTTAGGCTGAAACTCCAACAAGGCTTAGATGTAAAACCATACACTGAAGTGAAATGGTCATATTATTGACCATTTCACAGCAAAGAGCAAACATCTTCGATGAGTGTGATACCTCTAGTCGAGCTCTCGCAACAACGAGCGTCTCCGACTTGTCCGATCTGCCGATCTCAACAACCTAAAAAGGCAACGATAACGACGAAGACCGTCACGCAGTGTGGTGGAAAACGTTCATGGTTTCTCACATCTGTTGGTGACAATATGAAATATGTGAGAAAATTTTTGGGGAGTTCATTTCAATTCCTTTACATTTCTACTCTGGTACGTATATGAACTCCTATAATCATTGAGTGAACTCCTAAGCTCAGCTGAGGGAAGCAAACGTATATTCCTACTCCAACACTTTGTTCACTCCTAAGCTCAGCTGAGGGAAGCAAACATATATTCCTACTCCAACACTGTGTTCACTCCTAAGCTCAGCTGAGGGAAGCAAACATATATTCCTACTCCAACACTGTGTTCACGTTTTTTCAGCTTCGCTTCCCTACCCTTAAATCAGCATTCCGAATACAGAAGTGATCTCGAGATTTCTTCACAAACTCAACGAGTTCGTCCAGAATAACCTGATGAGAAAAATTCAAAATCTGATAACACAATTTTGAGTGCTGACCTCAACGACAGACACATCGGCCTCAGCCGCTGGCGCCTCGAACCTGCAGGATCAATGGAGTTTCACAACCCGTTTTACGTGAGGTGGCGTAAAACTCGGTGAAAAACTAGGCGATATTTGCGGCATACTGTAGTAGCCGGGAAATATGTTTCTCACTAGTGTTTTCCATATCACTAGGGTGAAACTCCAATGTTGCAGCAATTTAACAGAGTTTCACCCGTTTCACGTGAAGTGGTGTAATACGCCGTGTATGTTTTCCCCACCGATAACACAAGTGAAGTGTGAGATATGTTTTCCACTACTGTTTTTCATATCACCGGTGAAACTCCGATTTATTATATTATCGCGATCAACATCAGGCCATAAGTCTATGATTGATAAATCCACATAGAGTTTCGCCCGTTTCACGTGAAGTGGCGTAATACTCTGTGAAAACCCCAATATTCGCGGTGATGTACAGTAGTAGTGAAATATATTTTTCACTAGTGTTTTTCATATCACTAAATGCACGAGACATACTTCTGAGCGACTTCCTCGACGCTTCTTGCGACTATCTCTAACACGGTTGGAAGCAGTTGAAATGAAATATCGAGTACAGCTTTGATCAATGCGCTCATACCATGTAACTCGTACCTGCTGATGAAAATAAAATCCCTCTTGGGGAGGCTTGTGTCAATTTGATATGATGCAAATGTGCGTTATTTTCCGAGATTAATGAGAATCGATCTGAAACTATATCGCATAAACAATGTAAACATTGCTATGAACATGTGATGTGATAAAAGTAACCTTTCGAGACTATGATAGCGACAAGTTGATCACTATCATTAATCCCGAAATAGAAAACACACATACCAAATTGGCACTCAGCGCTGTATATTATATCACCGATCACATGTGTGCACCTCAAATCAAACTACGACTCACGCCGGTTTCTCTTCTACTCCATCGATCGTTAGCATGGCACTCAACAACTGTAAAGAGTCCTCTGATGCTGAAGAAACTGCCTCGAATATGTCCTTCACAATCTAAGCACAGGAGTAGCAAGAGTTGCTGGGCTGCGTTGGAGTAGGAATATATGTTCCCTTTCCTCCGCTGAGCTCAAGAGTGAGCACAGTGCTGGAGTAGGAATATATGTTTGCTTTCCTCAGCTACTGAGCTCAGGAGTGAACACAGTGTTGGAGTAGGAATATATGTTTGCTTTCCTCAGCTACTGAGCTCAGGAGTGAACACAGTGTTGAAGTAGGAATATATGTTTGCTTTCCTCAGCTACTGAGCTCAGGAGTGAACACAGTGTTGGAGTAGGAATATATGTTCCCTTTCCTCCGCTGAGCTCAAGAGTGAGCACAGTGCTGGAGTAGGAATATATGTTTGCTTTCCTCAGCTACTGAGCTCAGGAGTGAACACAGTGTTGGAGTAGGAATATATGTTTGCTTTCCTCAGCTACTGAGCTCAGGAGTGAACACAGTGTTGAAGTAGGAATATATGTTTGCTTTCCTCAGCTACTGAGCTCAGGAGTGAACACAGTGTTGAAGTAGGAATATATGTTTGCTTTCCTCAGCTACTGAGCTCAGGACTTTCCTCACTAAATATAGAAGTTCATTTACGAATTAGGTTAGAAATTTCCTCAGAATTTTCATACAGGCATGTGGTTGACCATGTGCAACTTTCACCACACTCGTATCGTCAACGAGTTCGCCATCACTTTTGACGACATTTTATACAAGAGCTTCTCACCAACCAAAGCGATTTACCTCCGGTTCGTTCACTTGTCCCCACAGCAATATCCGACGGAATAATATCGCATGATCGTTTACAGTTGGCTTCACATTTCTCTTCTAAAGCGGAGCGTAACTAGACTCTTACAAAATTTTCCTCACTTCGCGATAATCCGCCTCAAAATCCATCATCAGTTTAGTAGTCCGGTAGTTCTGCATAAACATCAACATCTTTTCATGCGTTGCATTCTATACCAATGCTTCCTCCACACTGTCCACGTCCTTCTTCGTCACCAGTGCCTTCACACCCGCGCGGTAAGTCGCCGGTGCGACTTCTGCTAAAGCGCATTCGTCAGTAAGCATAGCTCGTCTGAGTTTCATATTTAATGTTATCATCAACAGTCTTGAACTCACATCACAACATGTTTCACAATACTCGATGATTCTAATAGAGGTGCAATTCGCGCGATACACGCTTCGCCGATCACGAACAACTTCACGGCGTTGATGTCCTCGAGCTTCGCTGAGAGTATGATGCTACGGTTGAGTACGAGATTGAACGCCAGTGGGAAAATACCAATTTAATGATGTAATGAGTTGATCGAATTACGGTAACAGGAGTTGCCGTTTGTGTGAGACGAAAATCTAGACAGTGATAATCAGATGTCGGTAAAGTTGTAGAGTGTTACAGTGAGTGTTGTACAGTGTCAGTTGTTGTCTGAGTTTCGTTTAGACAGTGAGTCGATTTGGCATGCAAATGTTAAAAAAATTCCGAGAATAGATCTGAAACTATATCGCATAAACATTGCTATTAACATGTGTTGTGATAAGAGCAACCTTTCGAGACTAGTTGTTCACTATCATAAATCCCGGAATAGAAAACACACATTTGCATATGAAATTGACCCCCGAGCAACCACCTGAGGCTTTCGGATCTGTCATAGTTGCTCTGATGTGATCAGCGAGATCATCTGGAGTCTGGAGAAAGAAGGTCAGCAGAGTGTCCCGAGTCTAATAACAAGTCATAGACACTCTCAATCGGTGTGAGGGTGCGTAGGTAAAATTTGTGGAAATTTTGAGGGAAATTTAGGAAATTCCCATTGAATTCTCTACCCAAATTTCTGTAATAAAATTGCAGAGTCAGCTGAGGAGAGCGAACATATATTCCTCCAACACTGCTTGTGATAAATATACCGCAAATTGCCACATTTTCTTACGTGCTCAATAGCAACCTTCGAGCGGTTACTTCTCGTGGGATTGGTGACCAGGCTGAAAGTTGGGTGTCAACTCGACAAGAGTTGAGATATATAAGGCGTACTTTAGTTCTGCCAGAAATCGGTTGCAAAGTTCATCTGAGTATTCCAAGGGCACCTATAAGTAGTACAATGGGAAAATGGAAGACGTTTACAGTCAATCTGATATGATGCAAATGTGTGTTATTTTCCGAGATTAATGAGAATCGATCTGAAACTATATCGCATAAACAATGTAAACATTGCTATGAACATGTGATGTGATAAAAGTAACCTTTCGAGACTATGATAGCGACAAGTTGTTCACTATCATTAATCCCGGCATACAAAACACACATATCAAATTGGCACTCAGCACTGTAGAGTAACTCACATGGAAGCTTTCGCGTACATCATTAACATCAACTTTCTCTCCTCCAAGGATTCTTCGACACACCTCAGTCTCATCCATACATAATGATGACACTTCCTATGATATTAGCAAATGCAGAAAGAGAGCGTCAACAGTTTTCCAAGCTCACCGAGGACTCCACCGAATCTGCGCTGTAGACTTCAATCTCTTCAAATTCGAGCCTGAACGGTTGAGTTCGAGGAATTATGGTACATTCGAGCACTTCCTGTGAAGTACACGGATTACACGGATTAATAGAGTTTCACAACCCACTTTACGTGAATACTCTGTGAAAAACGCGATAGTCGCGGTGATATGCAGTAGTCGTGAAATATATTTTTGATCAGTGTTTTGCATATCACTAGGGTGAAACTCCAAACATATGAAACATGTTCACTTTTTTATGGGTCTCGAAGACTTTCGATTTCCGGAGCTACGCGTGCGCGACGGACAAGACAGAATTAAATCGACATGCAAGAAGCACTTTCGAAGAGTCAGAAGTCGGTATCCAATTTACCCTGATTCATCTTCATCAGTCGCTCTACTGGGTTCGGCTGATAAAGCAGATGATAGCAACATTAGCCACGGAACTACTCACGTATGCCGAGACATGCTCTGGCTTCAACTTGCCATTCTGAATGGCGCCGGGCTCGCATCTCTTCGTCGTTCATAATTCTCCAATGCGTTCCAGAAGAGTGTTGTTCCTAGAATGGTTTGTGTGATGTGACCGATTGAGAATATATAATTGTAAAATATATAGTTTTTCATAATATCTTTATTAATAATGATTATAGATATATATATTATCTAATATTGGTATACAATGTGACATAATATTTTTAATGAAAATTCGGCGGCTGCTTTTGAGCGGAGTTCTTCTTGAGAGAGTGCAACTTCAACTTAGAATCTATATCATCTAGTTGGGGAAATATAAATTCTAGTTTCAGTCTCAATTTCACGCTAGGACTCGAACCATGGCGGCGATAGGTTCGAGCCTCTCCCCAGCGGTCGTGGTAAGGAGCCAGAGCCCTCAAGGTCCTAGGCAGTTGTATTTAATATCACTATGGCATATAATGGAGTTTCACCCGTTTTACGTGAAGTGGCGTAAAACTCGGTGAAAAACGCGATATTCGCGGCCTGTAGTAGTCGTGAAATATGTTTTTCGCTAGTGTTTTTCATATTACGGGTGAAACTCCAATATTGATAAAGATATCCACCGTCAAAACATCAATAATAATGGGCTCACTTGTCCCTTGCTGAAGTCAAAGACGTTTGCCCAATCGTTATGCGTGATCGTGAGACCAGCTTTTGCCATCAGCTCACTAAAAGGCGTCGCGAGTTCCTACCACGTGAAAGCATCAATTATGCGTTTCATGATGTGTGAATCACCCTAGGGATATCAAGGGGACCGAATAGCATATCGTGGGAGCTCTCTATTATAGGGTGACCCGGTATTTGCAGAAGGAGTTCGCATTCGTGACCTGGCTAAGGGAGTACAGGAACCCATTCAGCTTTGAGAAATAACGTCCCTCAGGGTTTGATAACAATGAGGAGAATGATGTTTCTAATGTGATGACATTTACATGGGAAATTGATTGAAGAATGTTGAAAATTCAAAATGAGTTCCCCCCTCGGGAACATTATAGGTTTATGGATGATTCCCCGAGGCAGTTGCTGAGTGTCGATCGCGAGCACGTTTAGGAAATCTCGAATAACAGAAAGCTCACAATCTCTGGTTCGTAGTTGCTGACAAATTGCCATAAGGCGAATCCCAACACAGTCTCGCAGGAATATTGACCCTCCCACAGGCCCAACGAAAATCGAACCTGAACTCGGCTCGTTTAGTTTACAGTGCTAAACCGTGCAGCAGTGTCGAAGGAATATATGTTTGCTTTCCTCAGCTCAGCTTGAGAGTTTGCTCACTAATTATACAAGTTTATATACGAATTCGGGTAGAATTATACAGAAATCAATGAGAATTTTCTAGAATTTTCATATTATCACCAACATATGTGGCTGACCATGTACTGGATTCTATTCACCGAAGTCACCAGTGGACTTACAATCTTTGCACTCGTCAATGAAAACCTGTGAGATGTGGTCCACCAGGTAAATCACACAAGCCTCGCATCGATCGATACCTACTAGGCTCGTGCATGAATACAGGAGTGAACATTACTGAAATCATATCCGCGAATTTCGCCGCGTTTTCGGATTAGTTTCTCGCCAGTTTTTCCGCTGAATATGAAGTCTCTGGGGTCCGGACGGCTGGCTTGGGCGACCGACGGCATATTTTGCAATCCAAGTTGAAACTCCACAAACGATCACTCGAAGAATTTTAGTCGTCTTTCCTGAGGAACGCGACATAGGGAGTTGGTAGGCCAAGTAACGAAGGGCGACACGTTGGCCAACGTGAATGAGAGCCGTTAAGTATATGGGTGAATCTATCAACTCTGTCTACTGCACACAATCATGCTGTCTCCATTTCAATGGTTCAAGGATACATCAGTATCACGACTACAGTACTGCTGCATGGAACATCGAAATGATAGATGAATTTTCACCCATACCACCCGGAAGTGGGGTTGGATCGACACTATGAAATCACTCATCATATACTCACCCACCCTACTACTACTAGTAGGGGATAGAATAAACTAATACTATAGATAAAGTAACAGCGAGGTGAGCAATAACGGAGACAATTGTTGTGTTACAACAGTGGCACATCACACAAATTGAAAAATAAAAATAGAAAAATAGTAAAAATAGTAAAAATAGTAAAAATAGTAAATTGTAAAAATAGAACGATACCCGTTTTGGAACAAGCCTTATCGATATCAATCCTGAAGACCATTTATGGTTCTCTGATCACTCTCAGTGTACTAGTAACCAAAATGCTGAAAAGGTGAATAGCAATGTTGATCAAGTTTTGGTATTCGTTTTCGATGTGATTTTGCCCTGGAAGTCCCAGAGAATATGATCGCATCGCGAAGTGGGTCAAAAAACGAACATTGAAGCGGGGATAATGCAACTCAACATTGCGTCAGCTTCAATAACGTCGATCTAGAACGAATTGTCGTGAGGTGTCTACCATAACTCGTGTAACTAATGAGATTGTTAAACGAACAATCGTGAAGTTTCAGACTCAGAAGCTAGGAGTGATGCGTACAGTGAGCCGTAATAGGCAAATTACAAAATCCGAGAAGTTTCGGGGAAATACATGGTGTTTCCCAGTGAGAGATAGCTCGTTAGAAAGAGCTTGGAGCCCGCTTTTGAATGATATCTTCGGATTCCAGATATTCTCCGTGAGCTTAGTGCCATATCGCGTTGATTTACCAGGAAGAAATCGACCTGAACTTTTTCGCACGGATTTTGAGCAATTTCTACGTAACTCGATTGTGCATAGCTCGTGCGAGGCCAGAGCGTATTCGGAATTCAAAGATACCATTGAAGAGTGCAGTCCGGGATTTTCCTGGTGAACTGTCCATCACTGGGAAATTAGTTGAATTCTGAAAAAAATGAAATTGAATTCCCATAAGGGACAACGGGGCGGTAACCAGAACTGAGCTCGAACGTGGAAATAGACGATTTTCGAGCGGTCGCTTTTTCCATGCTGTGTCTCTGGCGCGCCACTTCAAGTTGACATCAGCGCGTGCCATTTCCGCTCGAAAATTGATCGTGCTATTATGATCGCGAATCGTGATGGAAAAAGACCACTGAGCAAACTCTGATTTTTAGCTATCATAAATTAACTCTGAATGAGAACCACCCACTTCATTTTCGCCATATTCGCAACCTCCCTAGTTGAAGCCGCCAAGACATACCACTCCTCGGCTAATGAAGATGACGATGACTCTTCAACCCATTACGAAGAAGTTGACAACGATGCATCTGACGATATGGATTGGGGAACTGATCTCACTAGCTCTCCTAAGGACAATCTCGACGAGGGCGCCACTCAGGAGGAGATCAATGCGAAGAACGAGGCTTGGAAAAAGAAGGCCGCTGAGAGGGAGTCGAGACGTATCCAGGAAAGGGAACAATGGCAGAATAATTTCGCTAACAAAGTCGGTCTCGGGTTGATCATTCGCAAGCGTGTTATAGTTCGTTTGCCTCAGACAAAACAAGTTACGGAAAGTTTGGAGTTTCCCAACGACGTCCCATCAGTCCCCGCTTTGGACTCTGCCAGAGCTGCCAGTGAAGATAGCGGGACCGACGCTCCAGATGATGAAGGGCAATCCGCAGCATCACCGTCGGAGGACCATGCCACGGGGGGAACCTCAGAAGGCGCTACCTCAGGTGGGGACGAAGAAGCAAGTCACGAAGAGGGAGATGGCGCTCCCACCGAAAGTAAGCATCTCATTAGGAGCGTTGGAGTAGGAATATATGGTCGCTTTCCTCACCTGAGCTGAGGAGTTTCCTCGATTATTATAAAAGTTTACTTGGAGTAGAGGTGTACAGGAATCAATGAAAATTTCCCGAAATTTTGTCGGAATTTTCATGTTGTACCATGTGCATACTTGTTCTCCGCTGATACGTTTTTGCGGTTTTTGAATCAGATTAATTCCAAACTGTTTCTCTCAGGTTCTGATGACGGAGTGGTCGAAGCCGCCCCCTCTGAGAGCTACATTCAGAGAGCTGCTCTCAAGGGCAACTCTTCCATCGAGACCACCATCGTTGAGAAGAACAGAAACGTTAAGACGGATTCACCCAAGGCGAACAGTTTCGTTGACCTCGATGTGTTACACCCTTCAGTAGTGGATGCAGCGGTAAGTTGCACTTGATATTCGATAACTAAAAAATCGTCCAGGAACTTATAATGGAGTTTCACAACCCGTTTTACGTGAAGTGATGTAAAACGCGATATTCGCGGTGATATGCAGTAGTCGTGAAATATGCTTTTCATGTCACTAGGGTGAAACTCCAATATTTCCGGGGGAAACTCATTTTGAATTTCCAACATCCTTCAATCAGTTTCCCATGTAAATGTCATCACATTAGGAACATCATTTTCCCCATTGTTATCAAACCCTGAGGGACGTTATTTCTCAAAGCAAACTGGGTCCCTGGTTCGATTCGTGAGTTCAGATATACAAACGCGCCCAAAACGTTCTAGACGGTTTTCACCTTCTACGAAATCGAGTTCAGAAACTGGGAGAGTTGACTAAGTCGTAAGTTGACAATTGTCCCCATGGATAATCAATAACGGTTGTGGTATTTATTTATATTATTGTGTTCGCAAAAACAAGAATGTTAGTAGGAGTTGAAAACTGAGGTTGTGATTCCATAGTGAGGGATGTCAAGTCGCATGGTTTCCCCTCGGTGATAGCAATAGCTAAACTGAATAATGCCTGTCCTACAGTGGGTGTATAGAAAAGTCGTCAGACTAGCTCAACAGTAGAGCACGAGATGATGATCGACTGCTAACATATTACAGGCTAGGATACGTATGTATATAGATATACTTTGTGTGCTAGGATACTTACCCTACAGGAGTTATGACCCTTTCGTGAGACTCTGCGCCAACTCGCATCTCGTTCGAGATTCCTCTACATCAACATGATACCTTCTTCGTACACCTGCTGCACGAGTACTTTGTGTATTATCAGTTTCAGCAGTAACACACAAAATGAAGTTATCTATTGCTGGTGAATCGGCTATGTGGTCTAAACCCATTCAGCTTTGATAGGAGCTTTTAGGGAAAATGATGTTCCTTACGTGATGACATTTACATGGGAAACCGATTGAAGAATGTTGAAAATTCAAAATGAGTTCCCCCTCGGTAACATTATAGGTTTATGGATGATTCCCTGATGGAGACTATTCCGAGACTTCATTTTTTTCATGGAGATCCCACCTCAGGGGCAGAAGTAGGATCTGTCAGTTCACAAACAGAAATCAATTTCCGAGTCGGTGACAAATTTCAAATAGCATTAGTGTCTAATACACGCAACACCATAAACGGCGGCAAGGAACGAAGAAACGAAGAAACGTCAATCGCTGAAGCAGAGAAATCAACAATTCTTAACTCTGTCAAGACACTCCCACATCAGGATGGAATTGCCGCGTATGACCGCCATGCCGATCTCCCGTTTCTCTGTCCTTGATACCAGTTCTACCTACAGTGTGTGTCAATTTGATATGATGCAAGTGTGTGGTATTTTCCTGATCTAAAACTATATCGCATAAACAATGTAAACATTGGTATGAACATGTGATGTGATAAAAGTAACCTTTCGAGACTATGATAGCGACAAGTTGTTCACTATCATTAATCCCGGAATAGAAAACACACATATCAACTTGCCGTACAAGGAATCACAAGCTCTAGTGTGAGCCAACAATCTCCTTTTCGTGACTTCGTAAAACAAGTGATATCAACGTGAAGCGAATGACAAAATTTCCAAGCGTTCTAGAGTCTATATTTGTACTCTCGAGTTCAACAATCTCAAAAATCTAGACATGCATAACTGTTTGATCGCACTGTATTTCATATCTACGTAACATTATAAGGTATATATGCTACCAAATGATACTACTCGAATACCTTGGAGTTTCACAACCCGTTTTACGTGAGGTGGCGTAAAACTCGGTTAAAAACGAAAATTTTTCACATCACTAGGGTGAAACTCCAATGAATAAAATAATACTGGATAATCATATGTTCATCTTCATAAATATTTACTCTCAAACTTACCGCATTATCAAGAACAAGATTCATGAACTGGTCATAGCCGCGCACAACTCCCACGACGTGTCGGTCAGCATTCAACTTCACTAAAGGGAAAAATTGCTCAAAATTTGGTAAAAACAGAAAATTACCATCGATTCTTTTCTCCATGAATCTACGGAGATCTGCTCCAGCGCCGGCCTTCGGAATGGATGTGTGTGTAGCAGACATATGCAAAGGCAATTGAATTCTACTCACAAACACGAAATTATTTTCTATTCATTTACGGTGAAGACAGAGCAGTGCCGAATCAGATAAAACTTGTATCATATCAGCAATTGGAGTTGTTGTATAAACAACAACACAACACACATACGGCCAACTGCGATGCTTCCTAGTCCTCAAAATGTTTAAAGCATAGCTCCAGAGAAAAGGTAGAGGATATCTCCCCTGCGGGACAAAAGTCATCGACATGATGACAACAGACCTTAAGAGGCTGATGTACAACATCGATGCGAGTCTGTCGTTTGACTTTACCACCACTATGCAATAGCTGATACAAAACCAACTGCAACCACCTCACACATTCAAAAGCGAAAGCCCATGTTACTACCATAGAAGAGCAAACACCTCGCGGTCGTTGTATACTATGATGCTCTAACACCATTAATGCAGCACTTCGACGAACATGTCTCGAAAAATGATAATTTTTCTGACAATTTTCAAGACGTAATATCTCTTTCACTATCAGTGTTGAAGGGATATATGTTCGCATGAGTTTCCTCGGAAAATATACAAGTTTACATAAGAATTCGGCTAGGAATGTATAGAAACTACCTGATAATTTCCCAAAATTTCCCCGGAATCTCATAAGGTCATCAACACCTAGTGTTGCAAAATACAATAATAATTATTGTATATTCGCTTACGAGGAAAGCGAAAATATATTACTATTAATAATATATATCACTAAACATAACACTAATAGGCTTAGGTTTCGGGTTAAAATTAATATATGTTCGCTTTCCTTACCCGACCTTAGGAGTTTCCTCAGAAATTATACAAATTTACCTACGAATTCGAGTAGAAGTGTACAGAAACCAATAATAATTTCGATTTTTTTTCTATTTTCACCAACACATGTCGTTGACCATATGCATACCCCAGTGAAATCAACAACAAAATGAAATACAAGAAACTATTCCCTCTCAACAGGATAACTACACATTCACAATTGCCCAGGAGTAGTAAAGCTTTTACCACGACATAACTCGGTTAAACCTTCTCCGCGATAAGACACCAGTGGTGACACCTCGAAAAGCTCGTCACCCAAAACGTGTCCGCCTGCATTTTCTACCCATTTCCTGAGAAAAATATGTTCGCTTTCCTCAGCTGAGCTCAGAACAGTTTCCTCACTAAATTTATACAAAAACCACCAAAAATTCCCAAAATTTTTCTCGTTATTTTCACCTATGCATATTCTCCAACACTGTACTCACTTGCACATCGCCGATACGGCTTTCCTAGCAGTATCAGGGGAATCTTGATCAGCACCAAAAGGGTTCTTGATGGGAGTGAACTCGTCACTTCGACTGCACTCGAAAACAACAGATCGATCGGCCATCTCGAAAGCATCAAAAATGAACGCTTCAAGCTTCACACCGTTATTCTTCGTCGGCTTGACGGTTTTACCTGGGTAAAAACGTCCCACTTCCGGAGTTTTATACCCAAACATACTCACCGTTTTCATCAGCACTTGCAATTTTCTTGTATGCTAAATGATAGCGACTATTCATCTTCGAAATCGCTTCTCTCAAGAACTCAACCGAGTAAAAATGATTGCATATATTTCCGGCACCGAAAAGAAGTTTGCCATCCTGCGCTTCAGCCCTCACCATAGGGTTATCAATGCCAGCCGCAGGATTATACCTAAAATATAATTTGGTGAAAAGAAAAACACTGAGAATTTCACCCTAGTGATATGAAAAACACATTTCACGACTACTGCATATCATCGCGAATATCGCTTTTACACCACTTCACTTAAAACGGGTGAAACTCCACTCCAAAAAAATATTACAAATCTGAATACTCCACCACTGAACATTTTCCGTCCTTATTTGCAATAACTCCAATTTTCTCATCCCATGAGCTTTTCCACACGACTTTGTTGCCAACTTGGGCATCCTTCTCGATGCAATAGCCGACGAACCAGGGATCACCCGGTTTCACAATAGCGTTATCCACAGAGAAAACATGCAAATATTTAACTCCCCACACTTCCAACTTCGATAGCACCTGAATATACGTGATACCAAAATTCTATCACTTTTTCCTTTTTTTACCCCTTCCTTTTCCAACGCGTAATATATACCTCCGTTCCCATCTGGGCTGACGCTGACCTTAGATTTTGATTCCATAATAAGATTCCCATTCAGTGATAGTGCAGGTAGAGTACCTTAACGGTCACTACATAACATTGGAGTTTCACCCATCTTCTCGAAAAACATATTTCACAACTACTGCATATCACCGCGAATAACGCGTTTTTCACCGAGTTTTACTCCACTTCACGTAAAACTCCAATTTACGAGCTTAATTTCACCTTGTGGGAAAAATAAAACATCCTCCTTAGGGTAACCGAAGAAATCATGGTCCTTGAAAAACTGCTGAACATAGTTGTGATTCAGCGGTGAAGTCATAACCAGAAACGGAAGGCGAGCGCTTTCTTCACCCGACAAGGCCCTAAAAAGGAAGAGCTCATACAGTAACCACAGATATGAGAAAATACGAACATGATCAACTACACTTCTGAGGAAAAACGAGGAAATTCTTATTGCTTTCTGGACACTTCTACTCGAATTTTCATATAAATTTTGAGGAAAGCGAGAACATATTCCAATACTGGCGTTTCGCCCGTGATTTGAAGAAAAAAAACACTACTGAAAAATATATTTCACCGCATACCGCGTTTTCCACAAAATATGACACCACCTTACTTACTTCAGTCTAGTCAGCCTCTCAGCAAACAGTTGAAATATAGGCTTAGCACTTGGGAGACCAATATCAACCATACCCTTGGATTCATGCACGCCTAAGCCCATTCGGGTGCCCTGTCCACCTGCTAGGACGCACCCGGCAACCTCGCCGGCTGCTATGGCGGATAAACCCAGGGCCTAAGCAAAGACTATAAAATCGTCTCAGAAAAATCTTCAAAAAAATGTCGAATTCAGCGAGGGAAAGTAGCAATCGATTCTCGTAGTAATGAGCTCAGTAGAAGGAAACGAGCATATACTCCAACACGTATTTACCTATACAAAGATCATATACTAATATTGGAGTTTCACCCTAGTGATATGAAAAACACTAAAAATATTTCACGACGACTGCATATCACCGCGAATATCGAGTTTTACATCACTTCGCGTAAAACGGGTGAAACTCCATCAATATTCCGATAATTATATTCATGATATCATAATATCAATTACATATAATTTAGTTTCAATCCTGAAAAAAACAAACCCAACATTGTACCTCCCAGCGCTTGATATCTTCAGGAGTCATAGAAGTGAGTTTCATAACATCGTTATCATTCGGAGGTTCATATTCAACCTCGGCAGTTTGAGCTTCTAGATCTTCTTTCGCCTGAGTAGAAATCATCGGAAAAAAATAACAGAAAAATGTAATATTAAGTATATAATTATTGAGGCAATGAGAAATTGGAAGTCAAAATACACAGAAAAATGTATAAAAATGTAAAAAAATGGTAATGAATATGTAAAAATTTAGGAGACAATAAACAATTGAAAGTGAAAATAAACAGAATTGAGAGACAATAAACAATTAGAAATAAAAATATTCATAAAAATGTAATAAACTAGTAATAAATATATAATAATTTCAGAGAATTGAAATTGAAAATAAGCAGAAAAATGCCCGTTTTTAATAGTAAGTATATGTTGAATATATAGTAATCGAGGCAATGAAAATTTGGGAGTAAAAATAAACAAAAAAATGCGCGTCTTTTTAGTACTAAATTTAATAAAGTTAAACTATACTAGAAAAAAACCCAGAAAATTACTTTCTCCACACTAGCCTTGATTTTCGGGTAGTCGATGCTCTCGAGTTGCTCTATAAGGGCTTTAGCTTCTGCGTCCGTACACATACCGTTATCGATGAACTTGAATACGTGGGACTGTCCCCAGGCTTCGTATTTACTCCTGAGAGCGCTGGGAACCACGGCTGCAGTTGACGCCACCATTGTGACACTACACAGATATATAACACTGTTGAAAAAATAGAAGTATGACAACTTCATACGGAACGATTATATTTGGGCGAATTCGAACGAAGTTGGGAATAATTCTCCCGGATTAAATCGACGCCACCGAAAATAAATTATGCAAGGTTAATAGTGAACTAAGTGATAGAGTTGACCTTAGAACTCAATAAGTGTATATTCTCAGTCTCATAAACCACTGCTAATTACAAACAAAGCTCCCAGACAATTCCTATATGGGAAATAATTCTGCTATTTAGAGCCATAGCTAGTACTAATGTGATAGTAGATTGTCGCTCAGTAGAAGAGGCTGATGCCGATTGGCTATAGAAAAGCTTCATTACTGCATGGAAAAAATTCCGGAAAAATGTCGGGTGCCGGGATCGAACCGAAGCAATTCCGGGCTCAGAGGCTGCAAGAACAGTGATCACTCTGGATCTAGGATGGACAATACTCTCCGCTGAGCTCCTCCTCGTCGTCCTCCAACTCGCATCTACTAATAAGCAACTAAACACGATCTGACGGACGATATGTGAGCGCAATTGCCATGATGTTGCTCACAGACTACTAGAACTTTCTGGAAGGCACTATCTATTCGAGTTATCCATCAGCTCTCGCTCCAGTGATCCACTAGTTATACTAATTATTCACACTTAACCATGGGAACTTTGATAGAGTTAGTCGACTAGGTGGTGTGGAGAGGATCGAAGACTCGCAGGGCTCCCCCCTTAAGCGTTGGTCACGTGACAGGTGCCCAACTAAGTGGTGTCGTATCACGTCTCACACGGGTTTGTCCCGTCACCCACTCCACTAGAGAAAACTGTCAGTTACCAATAACTTTCCTTCAGAATCCTCTGATTTTTACCGAGCTCGCTCGCCCGTCGAATCACTTCCTCTGGAGTTGACCCTAGCCTCTGGCAAGACTTTCCATGTATTATACGAGTACATGTTGTATTCTTATGACTTATGAAAGCTGCGCTCGCCCGACACGTACAATACCAGGACTATAGGGCACTGCTGAACCTTTTCAAGACGCAACACAACGGGGTGTAATTGTGTAGAACGGAGTCCTCACTGACGTAATCTTCAAGCAGGAAGCAGAGAGTGAGCAACAAATACGATCAGAGACGATTCATCTCGGCCTTATTTTCTATCTACTCGATCAATACACATGAGTTTCCATACACGATGGAATCGAAAAAAAACGAAAATCATACGTACACATGAGTATTGTACACAAACCAGCGAGATTTTTCCAAAATTTCCCCACACTTTTCATATTGTCACCAACACAACAAGTTGACCATACGCATACTCCCCCCCCCACTGTTCACCCTTTGTGAGTCTATAGTCGTTGATTATCCAAGCGAGCCGAACGAGGAGATCAAATCCCCAAGTTCCAATATCATATTTTCACTCAAGTTGAACACAATACAGATATGCTGATAGAAAGTTATTCAGTATGAGGCTCGTGCATGCAACAGCTACTCACAGCTCGGGGCCATCACTTTCACCCGACGACTCTGAGAAAAAACACCAAGTTGATTCACTCGCCGAGGTCGAGTTACCTTCATCGAGCCCGTCACCATGGTCGCCCCGTTCTGCACTTTGACCATAGAGAGATGAACGCCATTTCTAAGGGGGAAGTAAATTGCACGATGCGTGTAAATTTGTTGCACATGTGTGGTATTTTCCTGATCTGAAACTATATCGCATAAACAATGTAAACATTGCTAGGAACATGTGATGTGATAAAAGTAACCTTTCGAGACTATGATAGCGACAAGTTGTTCACTATCATTAATCCCGGAATAGAAAACACACATATCAACTTGGCACTCAGCACTGTAGACTCTACAGTGTAGAGCTGTACTGTTCGATCAGTTACTAATACTGCATCAAAGTGTCCGCTCACAGTAAGCATTTCATAATATTCTATGGAGTCTTGATTTCGAAACATTCTTCACATTTACATACCTCGAAATCCTTCCCGGACACTTCAACAACAGAGTTATCGAAAGCCTTGAACTCAATCATCGCTCCGCTTTCCGTGCTAGCATCGTCGAAATGTGTCGCGAATGTACTAAGGCAATTCAAAATTCAACAACATGTGTGAATACGCTACCTTCGTTCTCTACCACCCGCCGATACACTAGTTGGCATCTGTCATGAAATTATCTTCAAAAACTATTAAAAATTCTCTCCAGCTTACCACACCCACACATAGGTAGTTCTTTGAGGGCATTCGACAACATATAATATATGGCAACGGGCTCCTCCCAGCTTCTCGTGAGGAATACTTATGATGAATTATATGCAACACGAATAGCCCAACTCGACGTAGGACACCAGCGGAGCTGACCAGAACGTGATAGAGGCCAGCAAAGCCGAGAAAAATTCGCCTACCAAATGATCGGATTCACCACCCGTTGCAGAACAGTTATCCTGAAATTCTCATTTCCCCTACAAATCGTCTTATACATTTTGCGATCTCGTATATATTTCGCCTGATACGCATTCACATAACGAGAGGCTCAGCAAGGAGGAGCTCACCTGAGCTACCACTTGGCGTAGCACGTTGAGCCCTCGCAAGAGCCCAGAGCGAACTCCACTGGGGTTGTTACTGCCACATTGACAAGAATACATTTTATAATATATTTTTATATTCGAGTTTCACCCGTGATATGACAAAAAACACATTTCACTTGGCGGAAAACAATGTTAGTGTCGCGGAAACATATACGTCCTATGATTCACATGGAGTATTACGCCACTTCACGTTAAACGAGTGAAACTCCATCATTTTCATAAAAAGATATCGCCAAAACAGTTCTAGTAATATCACCCTCCCCATAAAAGGGATTACATACCGTGTAAAGTAATTCACAAAGTTTATCGCGCGTGTATGTAGCGTAGTAAAAATTGTTGGTGACGATCTGAAAATTGCGGGGAAATTTCAATACTTTCTCAGAGAAGTTCTATGACGTATCTTCGGAAACTCTTCTGAGCTTAGCTGAGGAAAGCAAACATATATTCCTACTCCAACACCGCTTACTTGCGAACTATATCAAGCGCCTCAAAGAATGCCTTGCGATGCTGAGAGTCTTCATCCTCCTTATTTTCGCACTCTACCAAATAAAAAAAATATCAATAATTATGATAATTTTTCATCGTCACCTATGTGGGTATCAAGCGCCGCGGAAAGTACTATCGCCATATCAGAAGCCGCCATTTCACTGAGGTTAAGGTGGTCCACTTGACCAGCTGCTGATGGTCCTATTCGAAGACTCAAATGTGAAAGTCATTTCATGTTACCGTTACATATCAAAATTATGGAGTTTCACCCGTTTTATGTGAAGTGGCGTTATACTCTGTGGAGAAATATGTTTTTCATATCACGGGTGAAATTCCAATAACATAGTCTTGCAAAGCATCCATT